GCTGTGTATTTTGTGAAAACAAACCTGAAAGCCTGAATCACTCCTGGCTGCAGTCCAGTGGGATTCATGTACCACACTTAATAACCTCCTGAAAACCAGCCTATTATTTTATGTGTTTAGTAGCCATATACATGTAGAAACGTGTCTGTACAGCAATACCACATAACCTGTGCTATATTTTATAATCTAAGCATCGAAGTCTTTAAAATGAATAAAAAAAAAGAGATGAGAGTGTGTATGATAACACATTTCCCCTACTTGCCTCCACACAATGAGCCGTACATAACGATGTAGATGCGCAGACCTTTTTAGAGAGTCGACCTTTAAAAAGAGCTGCAGTGATCGCGGTCAGCGCTCCTTTCGTCTCCTCTGCTCCTCAGTTTGTTCTCCTTCAGCGTGTAAACCATAAACGGCAGGAGACCTGCAGCAGCGAGCAGCGTCCAGCTTCCGAAGCGTGGATCGCGACACCCAGGTCACGTGACCAGGACTTAAACCTTTGGCGTAATCAAGTCAAAATTATATAAATATATTTGAATGGCTACTGTCACATGACAGAAAGCGAGAGACAAAGAGCGCACGGTGAGCTCCATTGACTCCCATCAGCAGAGAGAGGGAGAGAGAGCCACACACTGCGCTGTAAATTCATTCAAATCTCTCAATAAACGCGCCTCTGCTTTCAAACAACACAGGATGAAATCTTCAGCTCGGCCTCCATCCGCTCTTTTTTCTACTTTCACCTGAAAAGAAATTGCCGAATCGTTTGACGTCATTGTCACGCTAACCCGTTACTCACGCGCTGCGCAGCCGTGACGAATATGCGCTTCCGGTGTGGATATCTCATAAACAAAAGGACACAGATTCACTGTGGAAAATCCACAGCAGTGTGAAGTACAGGTACGTGTTCAGAGGCTGCTGAGCAGAGGAGGATTTAAAGATGTGCGTAAAATTGACGATCTGTCGGAATTATCTAGGCCAGCGTCTGGCTTTTATTGGCAGCGTGTAGAACAAACCCGATGACACGAACTGACAGAAAGCTAAAAGTCAACCAAACACATGCAATGTTGCAAAACCAGCTCTAAACCTGTGTGCTTATTACAGTAAACACAGCAGTCCGTTCTCTGTGTTTCGCATCATAAACTGACTTCTAAACAGATTTATTCTGAGCAACACAAACGATAAAAGATGGAATATTTTGCTGAAGCACAAAGTTTACTGTCTTTAACCGTCTCAGTATTTTTCTTTCTGGCGCGGCATCTAATAACCAACTCGCAAAATAAAAACAAACCAACAAACACGAAAACACCAGACATTATGATACAGACATAATTTGCACCAATGTTTTTTCGAAATTCTATACACGTTAAGTGAGCGCGAGAGCCCTCGGTGCACCTGCTTGCTGCTGAAGTCAAAGTAAACTTCCGCTACATACAGACCAGCATAGAGAGAAACGAGACGACGAGGCTCCAGTTACAATAGTGCAAGCTATAAAAACTATGGTTGTGTGTAAAAAAAAATGAAGGTCCTTCAATCACTTTACTCTTTGCTTTAATCAGTTAAACTTTTCCCCCTGTAGGTTCTGAATAATGTTTATTTGTTTGTTTATTGTATACATTTTTGTAAGCATAACACCTATAATATGGTACTGTTTAATTCTAGTTTGTATTGTACTGATGTTTAAATAAAGGTTTGTAAAAAAAAGAAGAAGAAGAAGAAGCAGGGGGAGGAGACGAAGAAGGGGTGTGCGTACTGTGCTCTTTGCTGTGTCTTTCCGCCGTTTTAAAAATGGGCACTTTTTGAAGAACTCGTGTCAAAGTATTGTGGAGAAGCGTCGTGTTAAATCTAATTGATGAACGGCTTTTTGTGAGGTATGTATTGCAGCTGCGAAGACGAACGTACGTTCTCCTGTTATGTTATAGCTGGTAGGAAGGTGCGTTCAGTGTGTCTTTGTAATTTTAA